CCCATGTGGAACACAGATTAGTCCTGCCACTTTAAGAAGTTACTCCTAATGTCAGATTGTTAGGTGTATAAAACACCTGTCCACACAATCTGTATCTTCCATGGGGTAAGGATGATCATGAGAAAGGTGAGGGATCAGCCCCGAACTACACGGGAGGAGCTTGTTAATGATCTTAAGGCAGTTGGGACCATAGTCACCAAGCAAACCATTGGTAACACACTACGCAGCAATGGACTGAAATCCTGCAGCAAGGTTCCCCAGCTCAAGAAGGCACATGGACAGGCCCGTTTAAAGTTTGCCAAAGAACATCTAAATGATTCAGAGAAGGCTTGGGAGAAAGTGCTGTGGTCAGATGAGACCGAAATTTAGCTCTTTGGCATTAACTCGACTCGCCGTGTTTGGAGGGAGAGAAATGCTGACTATGACCCCAAGAACACCATCCCTACAGTCAAGCACGGAGCTGGAAACATTATGCTTTGGGGGTTTTTCTGCTAATGGTACAGGACGACTTCACGCATTGAGGGGCAAATGGACGGGGCCATGTACTGTAAAATCTTGGACGAGAACCTCCTTCCCTCAGCCAGAACACTGAAGATAGGTCATGGATGGGTCTTCCAGCATGACAATGACCCGAAACTAACCGCCAAGGCAACAAATGAGTGGCTCAAGAAGAAGCACATTAAGGTCATGGAGTGGCCTAGCCAGTCTCCAGACCTCAATCCTGTAGAAAATCTGTGGAGGGAGCTGAAACTTGCAGTTGCCAAACGACAGCCAAGAAACCTTAAGGATTTAGAGAGAATCTGTAAAGATGAGTGGATGAGATGTGTGCAGACCTGGTGACCGACTACAAAAAACCTCATACCTCTGTGCTTGCCAACAAGGGTTTCTGCACCAAGCACTAAGTCATGTTTTGCTTGGGGATCAAATACTTATTTCACTCACTGAAATGCAAATCAATTTCTAACCTTTATATAATGTGTTTTTTCTGGATTTTTTGGTTGGTATTCTGTCTCTATACGTTAAAATAAACCTACCATAAAAATTACAGACGCTTAATTTCTTTGTAAGTGGGCAAACTTACAAAATCAGCAGGGGATCAAATAAATATTTTCCCCACTGTATATATAGCCTGTATATACTATACACACACTAATACAAACACTTATTGTACACAATATTTACTCAGAATGCGTACAGTTAAAAACAGTATTTGTTTATTGGCCTAATAATTGGCTTTTATCATTGACATAAATAGTTACACAACAATATAAAATTATACAACAATATAAAAACAGAAAATGGCACTGTACATTTCAATACCCATGCAAAACAATACTTTTATAAAAAATTTTCTCTCAGAAAGTCCTTTGAGCTGCTATTATATCTCTTGGCAACAGAATGGAATGTAAGAATGATGGACATATTAAGGAGTAACTGAACAGAAATCAGTTTGAACACGACTCGCTCATGTTCTGTATGTTGGTCTCTGAGGGCAGGTGAGCTCCTGTTCTCAGCTGAGCGACGACAGGCCGGTTTTCTCCAGGATCCAGCGGTGGTAGTTGCTGACTTTGGCATAAACTCCAGGACGGAAGGGTCTGGAACATCCCTCTCCCCAGCTCACCACACCGAACAGAAACACACGCTCACGGACGCGACACACCAGCGGCCCACCAGAGTCACCCTGAAACATCAACAGCATCAACCTGACAGGCTTTTCTTGCTTCTCAGTGATAAAATGTGCCAAAATTTTACATGTGGCCAGTTAAAAATCCGTAAATATAGGGAACAATGTACTGTGTTAAAGGATGTACTGAATAAAGGAATTTTTAGTATTGATTTTTTAGAATTGCACTGAATTGTGTTGTGTTCTAGGGTTAAATACTCATAAAATTATTGGATTACATCATGTCAAGTCCATTTTCCATTTTTTTTCTCCAGTGTGCCAATAAAAATGGAGTACTAAACCTAAAACTCTTCAAAAAATAAAGTATCAATAAAGAAAATGTTTAACCTTCAGAAAATACTGTTTTTCAGTGTTAAAGGAACACTCCACTATTTTTGAAAATAGGCTCATTTTCCAACTGCCCTAGAGTTAAACAGTTGAGTTTTACCGTTTTCGAATCCATTCAGCCGATCTCCGGGTCTGGCGGTAGCACTTTTAGCTGTAGCTTAGCATAGATCATTGAATCTGATTAGACCGTTAGCATCTCGCTCAAAAATTACCAAAGAGTTTCTATATTTTTCCTATTTAAAACTTGTCTCTTCTGTAGTTACATCGTGTACTAAGACCTACGGAAATAAATACGCAATGATATTACGCAGCGCCTGAAAATAGGCTAAAGCTAGGTAACTTCCAATAAGCCTATTTTCAGGCGCTGCGTAATATCATTGCGCCTGCTGCGGCAGCAAAGTTCCTTGATTATTACGCCGGAATGAGAGTATAGCTCCTAGCCATATTGGCTTAGAAAATCGCAACTTTTCATTTTCCGTCGGTCTTAGTACACGATGTAACTACAGAAGAGTCAAGCTTTAAATAGGAAAAATATCTAAACTCTTTGGTCATTTTTGAGCGAGATGCTAACGGTCTAATCAGATTCAATGATCTATGCTAAGCTACAGCTAAAAGTGCTACCGCCAGACCCGGAGATCGGCTGAATGGATTCGAAAACGGTAAAACTCAACTGTTTAACTCTAGGGGAGTTGGAAAATTAGCCTATTTTCAAAAATAGTGGAGTGTTCCTTTAAGAGGTCAAACTAAATATTATACATGTTGCACACATGCGCACAAATGCGCACACACACACACACGCACGCACGCACACACACACATACACACACGGTCTGAAGTTTAAAACCCTGATTAGTGTGATTTCGTTTTTTTTTCTACGAATAAACTTTTTATAAATGTAAAAAAAAATCCTACATTAAAGGTTTTAATAACATAATGATATGCGAGAACAGGTAACAGGGTTGCAGATCCTAAGTAAATGTAAAACAATTTGTTGTAAATTAAGTTGTCGATGAGTAGGGATGCCAAATTTCGGTTTTCTATCAGACCATGTAATATGCAGGACACAGATAAAAGTTAATTGATAATTAAAATAAGATAATAATTACATTTGTTCAGTAAATTCAGAGCAAAAGTTTGTCAAAATTATGACTTTATTGTTTAATTTTAATTGTTGCAAATAGTCGACAAGGTCATGACCAATTTGGTGGGACAGGCTAAAAATCACAATTTTAAGGTGGCAGTACAGACATTTTTTACATTTATATATTAGATAATAGTTTATCCAACACATTTTCTCTGCAAAGACCATGGGATTTATGCCTTTACTGCTTTAGAAAACTAATTAGACACCAAATTGTACTCTATCTGTAAATTAATAAATGTAAATTTGTACTCAATTTGCAGTGCCATGACATGCATTTTATATATTTAATATGCCAGCACATTTATATGGATGATTGTTGTTTATATAAGTAATTTATGGCTCACCTTACACGCGTCTACGCTCCAGTCGGGACTCGCGGCACAAAGCATGTTATCTGTGATCTTGTTGCCGTAATATACTTTACTCGAACATAAATCCTGTGACAGCATGTTGACCTTTGCTTCTCTGAGATACTGAGAGTAATACCACAACCCTACCACACACACACACACACACACACACACACACACACACGTGATGAATGAACCCTTCTTTAGTGCAAACAGAACAAACACAGTCAACACTCTCAGCTGATGTACCTTCTTGTTCTCTGCCGTATCCAGTGACCTCACAGGACATCCCGTCACTAAGTGACTGATGCGCCTCAGGGATGCAAACCGTCTTGACTGAACTGGACTCTTTAGCACAGCAACCATCATGACTGTGAATCTTCAACAGCGCTGAACACACAGCAGTCAATCAGATGTTAATGACATTTTACTGCATTACACATCTCATAAAGCTACGTTGACTTTGCAGAAAAGACCAGAATATGTTGTGTCTCGGATTCTGAATGCTTCTTTACTAGCTTAACCAGCCAAAGTTTACAGGTCAGCCAGCTTCACCAGAACCAGCAGTCACAAAACCAGTCTGGACTAGCATAAACTGGTCTTTTCAGAAGGTTGATGCTCAGAAATGTGTTTGCATTTGCTCACTGAACAGAAAGTTCTTTTCAAAGTGAACAAATGAGTTGTTTGGGGTTTAGTGAGTCAGTATTACCGATGTCGTTGTTGTAGTTGCCGTCTGTGTTGTCGAAGTGTTCATGGATGAAGAGCTCAGAGACTCTGAACTCCTGCTCTCTCTGAACATCTGTCTCATTGATGGCGTTCTTCCCCAGAAATACTGACAGTTTATAGGGTCTAGTCTGAGCGCTGAAAACAAATGCATTGAAAAGCATTCCTTTGCCTTCACTCGCAAAAATTTCTTGGGAACGAAAAAATTTGTGAGCGAATGCAAAAGCACTGATTTTTTTCCCCTCCCATCCCTTATTTTTCCAGCACCACATCGTTTGCGTTCCCCTGAGAAACACTTTTTCTCATAAACTTTTTGTGAGTGAACACAAAAATGCAAGATTTCTCTGTGGAACGCAATGTTTGATGCAAAAGCCCAAAATCTTTCCCCTACCATCAACTGGAACTTTTTCGTTCCCTCGAAACTTTGCGCTCGCAAAGTTTCTCTGGGGTAAGGCAAAAGTCTTGCGAGGAAACGCAAAATCACTGAAATATAATGTTTCTTCCCTTCTCATATTTTTCCCACACCGGAACTTTTGCGTTAACGTTTTGCGTTAGCATGCAAAAGTTCGCAGGCAAAAAAATTCGAAGTTCAAAGGAAAGCAAAAATTTTAAGCGCAAAAGTATACTACTGTAATATATAACTGGTAACTGGCGGCGAACCATTGAACCAGCGTCTATGGTTTTTACCTGATCTCGGATCAGTTTAATCAATTTGTAGACATTTTTAACGAGACATTTGTGTAATTAAAAGGATGAGAAGTAGTTAATAATCACTTACTGGCATCTATATAGAGGCTGTCCATAAAACAAACAAAGCAAGCCCTGCAAATTAATATAAAATATTTTAAAAACCACATATTATGCATACACTACAAATTTTATTTTTATTTAAATATATATTCAATAATATTTAATCACTGCATTTTATGCATTATACTTTTTAAAAAGTATAATGGTATTTTATTATTTTTTATTGCATTTTATGCATTATACTTTTTAAAAAGTATAATTAAGGTTTTAAAAAAGCTGTTTTTATGTATGTTTTAACGTGAGTTATTGTTGCATTTACACACTTTGACCAGCAGCAGCGTGTGGTGTTTCGAGCGCTTCGAAACAATTCGAAAATTTTCGTTTCCCCCGTCACTAAGTTTCACAGAGGAACGCAAAAGTTTGCGCGCAAATGCGAAAGTGTTGAAAAATAATTTGTCCTATCAACTTGCATTCAAACATTTGCCTTTGTTCGCAAAAACGCAATGTTTCTCAGGGGAATGCATTGACATATCTGTACTTTCTTCTCATCTGTGCAGTTTGTTTTGTGCACTGACCCGTCAGGGAAGCAGTGTGCGGCCGTGAGGACCCAGCAGGGTGAGATGAGACTCCCGCCGCAGGTGAACGTTCTCCCGCATGAGCTCCTGCTGAACACCGCCGCCATCCAGGGGTGGCGCTCCACCTCGCTCAAAGCCCCGCCCACTACCTTCATGCTCCGCTTCTCCCTCTGGCCACACTGCCATCCTATTGGACAAAAAGACAGCTCAGCCTGTCAATCAACCAGCAGCAAACACAGACAGATGCTCCACAGATGCGCACCTGATCTCACTTGACTGAGTGCCTGTCAGGACCTGCATCAAACCGTTTCATATGCCAGATATTTACAGATATTTAGTAATATTACATTAATACCGTGAAAAGGACGGAATCATACCGTGATCTTTTGCACAGCGTGGAATATCACAGTCTTCTTTCATGATCCCAAACGCGGTCCGTACATAACACCAGGGTCTGCGGCTGTAGTCTGGGTTTCTGTGAGTGATGGAGCATGTGTGCATGTTATGATGGTGTAGCTGACATGATAAGACTAAGAGAGATAAAGAACACACTGAAATGGCATTAAAGAATGGCACCTGAATGGCTCAGGATTCAGCAGCAGTGCTGCAGGCTCAGACAGGTGTGCAAGGTGTGCTTGTGAATATATTTACAGGAGGTCTTCACGTCTGGTCTTGAGAATAAGGGGGAATGAAATCCTGCCAAAAACATGTCTGGGTCATATTTCACTCCAAAACGAAAAGAAAAATTTGCTTTGCACTGACCAAATTCTCACTATACTGTAATATAATGTGTAGTGTGCTGATATTTGTTGTATTCTTTTTAATTAATGTTATATAATAAAAATGTAATTGTATATTGATTTTAAAAGTATTGATTAACATAATCATCCAAAAAGGTAATCTTTTTGTATTAAATAAAAGAATTAGTCATTGTATTTACTTTAATACAAAATGCAAATAAATGTCATTTAATGACATAAATGACATTAAAATAATAACGCAATGAAAAAAAATCTTAATCATCTAAAAAGCTTAATTAATAATCATCTTTATGCAAAACTTTATAAAATAAAATAATAATTAAATTATTTAAAATTTACTGTAATAGTTAAATATTGCATGTATTTATACATTAAATATATATATATATATATTATTATTTAAACTGTAAAGTAAGATATTTGTTTTACTGTTTTTAAATGATACTGTTTTAATGTTAAATTGTTAAATGTGTTTAATTTTCATTCAATATAGTCACAATGAAAAAATCTTAATGATAATAATTATAATAATTCCAAAAAGTGGATTAATAATAATCCTTATAATAAGGCTTAATTTTATGCAAAACATAAATTAAATTTAAAATATAAAATATTTTATTTATTTGTAATAAAAAAAAAAACGTTTTTAATTAAATGTAATATAAATGATTTCTTTTATCTCCAGGGTGAATTATGCCAAAGACATGTTCTTGATACCTTTCGTGAGATTCGCTCATAAACTGAGCTCCATGACATTACACCAGTTTTCTTGTTCTATTCATATCCAAGCCTTCAGGACAAATGCATGTTGATTTAGTTTTTTTTCAGGTCTTCAGCTAATCTACGGTCTCCAGGGAACTCCTAGTAACGGATTACCGGACAGGTCTGGACTGCAGGATCTGTTTGCTCTCATTAGTGTGTGTTCAGTGTAACTCGCCTGCAGTGGTCGTGTCGTCCCGGGCCAAGATTCCTGGGATAGACTCTGATTTCACGCACACTCTCTGAATCCCATTCCAGACATTCCCGCCCACTCACGGATTTAGAGACGGGACCTCTGTAGTGCAGACCGATCCCCTCAAAGCAGGAGACGGACTCGTCTGCCACAAAACATCATAATGAATATGAATGCATGCAAACAGCAGTTAATGATAATAAACACACACGAGTGATACGCACCTGTTTCACAGTTGGAGCCGCTGAAGCCATCAGGACAGAAACAGAGCATGTGACGACCGGACGGAGACAAGACAGACGTCCCCCCATTCAGACACAGAACACCTGCAGGAACACAAACACTCATAATAAACATGATCAAACAGTGCTGGGCAGTATGCAATCTGGATTACGTTATCAGATTACAAAAATTGGTTACACTTTATTTTAAGGTGTCCTTGTTACAACACTCATAATAAACATGATCAAACAGTGCTGGGCAGTATGCAATCTGGATTACGTTATCAGATTACAAAATAAGATTACACTTTATTTTAAGGTGTCCTTGTTACAGTGTAATTATACAGTTAAGTACTGAGTAATATTAATTAACTACATGTACTTACTGGTTATGGTTAGGATTAGGGATTGGTTTATAAGGTTACTTGCATGTAATTATGCATAATTTATTTTTATTATAATAATAAGTACATGCAACACGTGTAACAAGAACACCTTAAAATAAAGTGTTACCCAAAAATTAAGTACTTGTAATTAGATTGTATTACATCTTAAAATACTCGTATCAGACTAGTTACTTTTTAATTGATTACTTGATCATGTATTATTCACACAATAGCAATAATTTATCATTTATTCATAATTCGTATGTTCGCCGTTCTCTGACGTCAAATGACATGCACGTAAACAAATTATTTCGACGGTTGTTGTTTTAAAATTATTTTAATTTGACATTTTTATGTTTTAATTATTTGCTTTTCATTAAACTCACAAAATTCATGTTTTTAATCACAATGAATAGAATATATTTTCTTTCTCTTTGTATTTTTATGCCAATATGGTACAAGATTTTCTTAAGTCGATGTGATAAACAAGTTAGATCAAAAGTCATCTAAAAGTAGTCCGATTACATTACCTAAAATGTGTAATGTAATGGATTTTTTCTCATGCAATTTGGAATCAGTATTTGCAAGTAATCTGCTGGAAAATAAAGACTGCAGACAAAGTTGAAGTACCTGATTTCTCACGTAAACTGCTTGGAAAGAGTCTGCGCTGGGCTCTCTGGAGGTCAAAACAAACAAACAAACCAAAAAAAGGCATTTTTTTTCCCCTAGAATTAAATGCATTCTCCAAAAGTAAGTGAAAATATGTACTTAAGAAGCACACTTACACAGACCGTGAGAGCTGCTAAAGCTAGAATCAAACTCAGCAGGCCAAGCCAAGCCATTTCTGCTTCTTCTGCGGATCTTGAAACCTGAAAGAAGTGTGTTTGATTAAGCCTCGAGTTGTGTTTGAAACCTGGGACGACTTCTGAGTTGAGGGTTAAATTGGCCTACTTTGGTTTCAATGCGATTTGCCAAAAATCAGTACTATGAAAAATATTAAAGATTTATGTGAAAGCAGAAAACCTCTAGATTGTCAGAGACTAAAAATATATGCGATAATTCCCTTTTGTTTCTATTGTGTTGGGGATCAATTTGACCCATGTTCAAAATGAGCTGCACAGACACGAAATATTACAAAAATGTTTGTTTCTTTCTACTTGTATAAGGTGAAAATAACAGCAAGTATAAACAGTATCTGACAATATTTGTACTTCCTTTGCCTTTTTATTATGTCCTCTCCTCAAAACCTTGTGAGGATAAAATAGCTTTCTCACACTTCTTTTCAGTGCTGAAATATATAAAAAAATCAACCAAAACATTCTGACAGTTTTTTGTTTGCATAAAGAAACACATTTCATAAGTTCTGTAACAAAATTAGTTCAGCATTTCCATCTATGCGTTGAAACTTTGCACATTCATGAGCCTATAAATGAGAAACTTTCAGAAAAGTTCAAGTGTAAATAAACAGAAAACTGAGTGTGTCACATTGACCCCGATACAACAGGAAAGCACACTAAAGGCAAGGCTTTCTTTAAAAGTTCACAATCGAGCATCCATATAAGACTGTAAAGAAACATGACTTTTCCTGGAATCAGACCAGGATCAGACAGAACAGGCCCGGAGCGGAGATTAAACATGTCAGATCCACACCCACACGGCCAGAAATATCACAGTGTAGATGCTCGTTATATATTGCCTAGACAGCATTGAAACTGAACGCATGAGATGTTTCTCCTATGAATAAGACTCCAGAATCTCACATGCATCTCTTCAAGAGCAAATGATCTGAAATACCCAACAGTTTCTTGCGTGGTCCTTAAAATAGGGTTCCCACGATTTAAAATAATCAACAAAAATGTAATAACATAAAATCTGGAATTAAGAAACTTAAAAATGTTGCCATGCTGGAGAACATCACTGTCACTGCTTGAACTCATCTCATCTCAGCATGCATTTGCAGTCCACAGATTATTGTCACTATGAATATTGTTCTGAAACGTGCATACACTCTATTATCATATTAACTCACCTGTGTGTTCAGTCAGGTCAGGTCTGGTGTGTGTCGTTCTGCATCCCACTGATAGTTTTAAACACTCCTCATACAGAGGCTGGTTTGCTGTGATTGGCTGCAGGAGCAGACAGACTCGTGTTCGGGAAGTTTGCTGCTGAGCTGAAACTAGATCAGTGAATCACGATAATGATTCAAATTAACTTGAATTCCTTCATTCCCTCATCCTGGAATTCTCTTGATGCTCTTTCCTCTTTCTGTCCAACACTATTTGAACCATTCTTTTAACCCTATTAATTTCTTATGTCTCCACATGATCAAAACTTTGCTGTTTCACACAATCTACTGCATGTCTTCTGTCGTCTGATTGATAGTTCATACATTTTTAATAAGTAAAAGCTCTTTTAGTGTAATTGTACAAACGTCCAGCTTCAGCTGGTGCTTCACATGTCTTTGCCGTCAAATCTTGATGGATTTTTGTCAAGTATAACTGTAGTCATATTTCCAGATGAACGCTTACTGGACTGAAGCAGCTCAGCTTTACTTGATTCTCCATCAATCATGTTTTAGAGTCTCAAATCTGATCCTCAGGATCTTCTGAGGAGCGTTTATTTCTTCATCTCTCAATCAGCATTGGATTGCATTGCATTATATGTTTGGATCATCTCAATCTCATCTTGCGAAGACATATTATTGGAGATATAGAGTGACAACTGATATTTAGATCATTTTATGTAAGTATATACTGCTCTACTGTTATAAAGATCTCATTGATTTACATCACAAGCATCATATTGAGTTTCTGAATACAATTGAGCTGTTTTTTCCTCCATATCCTCACTATATCAGAACATAAGAGCCAGAAAAACCTGATGGATCAAATATGATACTCAACAATATTTTGTCTATAAACTGTTCCATTTCAAAACATTCGATTTTTCAGACTATTATGTCATATGTCAGGGTTTAGACGAGGGTTAATCTCTGGCCAAAAACGATAATATATGACCCGTAATCATAGCCTGAAAGGGTTAATCTCAGTCTGGGTCACTAAGCCTCAGTTCCGGGGCAAAAGGGCATCTTCTCCAAAACACCGACACAAGTGGGCAAACAGCAGAATCAGTTTCACGCTTCCACATTCTGAAACATCCAGCTGTGCAATGACAACATGTGTGGCAAATTCAGCTTCCATGCCTTCATTTCCTTTGGATTTAAGACTAATTGATGACTAATTGCTGTAGGTGTTGGCCGATAGCTCATCATTTTGGGGAATGATATGATTCAGTGTATCTGACACACTGATTCAGCTTCTACCTTTATAGCAGCGTGAAGGCGTCTTCACAGACTCGGAGCTGATTTTAGGTCACTGATTAAGGCTTCTGAAACCGTGAGGGTTAAAAATAGAGCTCCACACCCGACTGACCGAGTGGATGCAGAGCAGCATGAATCATCTTTGATGGACTCAAAACCAACAGGATGCTGGTGCAACTATGACATACAGCTGAAGAGTTTTATCAGACAAAAAATTGTGGTTTTGTTTGTCATTATTGGAGCATATTGATAGTTAATGTGTTTCTCGACAACTTTGAGGAGATCCGACTTTAAAAATCACCAAAACACCGAGACAAATGAAGTTATTTCCACACAAAAAGAAGCTCTGATGTCAGAAACGGAGACCAGAACCGATGCAAAGACAGCATATGGACTCTGTATATTTTAAATAAAATATATAACATTTTTAAATAAATTAACAATAATAAAACATTTTAATATATGATAATAATGGTAAATAATATAATAATAATAATACATTATTTTGAATGGAATCTAATTATAAAAATAAAATATTATTAAATATTTTGAAACATCATAAAAATGAAATGTGTAATATACATAATATATTATACAATAAAGATGTATAAGAATGAAAATAATGATCTCTTTCACTCTATATATATTTATATATAATAAAATACAATATAAAAATATTTTATTAAACTAAAATAGAATAAAATAATAAAATACAATTTTAAATAATTCAAACGTAATTACAGAAATGATAAAAACAAACATATATAAAATATAATATAATCTAAAATGATATAAGAATGAAAATAATTCATATTTCTAATTATTACAAACAAAAAATAATGAAAGTTAATAACAGTTTTATCATTATTATTCATTATCATTGTGCAACTTCTGATGTTTTTACTGCACACTACACCTGTGTTTGTAGTGTGTGTTTGTTTCTGTGTTTGAAACAGTCATGGTCTCATAAACGCAGCATAATTCAAAAACTGAAGAATTGAGTGAATTCTATTTATTACTGCAGTTAACCCCCCAAAAACAGATACATAAATACATTTATACAAAAAGCAAGCAAAAACGAACGAAGATGTTCCAGTTGTGTAGTGTGTTATGAAGCAGACTGTCTTACAGGAGAAAGTCGCATGTTTGTTGCCAAGGAAACCAGAGACTCCGTTGCTATGGTGACGGAGTGGGCGTGGCCTAGGCTGAGGTGTCAAAGAGCTTGTCAATCATCTCCTCCACCTGCTCCGGTGAGTAGCGGTGGTACTTCTCTGGGTTTTTGGTGAATGAGATGTTCGCGCATCTGTAAGAGCATATAAACATGAGCTCAGTGCAGCTGTAGATCACACATCAGCTGTGTTCTGATTGGCTGGTAAGTGTGTGTGAAGGTCTCACCGCTGAAGGAAGGCTCTGTACGCCTCTGAAACCACTCTCTTCTCAGCCTGACGGATGGCGTCCCGCTGCTCTTTATCAGGAACCGCCCAGCCCTGCTGGATCTTGCACAGCTCCTCCAGACCCTCATTAAAACCCTGCAAACACACACAACACAAAGCCTGGTTTGCATGTGCTTTCTGTTGAGTATCATATTTGATGCATCAGGCTTTTCTGGCTCATTGATGATTGAGAGATGATCCTGATGATCATATTTGAGACTGATTTTTCTAAAAAACTATTGATGGGGAATTAAGCAAAGCCGAGCTGCTTCAGTCCAGTAAGTTAAAGTGTTCCTCTCACCTTGAACTTGTCCTTGATGATCTGTCGTTCCTTGTCTTTGAGCTGCTCGTGTGAAAACATTCAGAGAGCAGGATTAAACTGAGATCATTACATAATGATGAACCATTTTCAACAAAATACTGTAGCTGAACGCAGAAGCCTTCATGCATCACTACATTCCTAACTGCATCAGAACGGCTGTATAATAAAACATTAACTGAGTATAACATAACAAATATTAACAAAAAGAATAAAGTATATAAAAAAATAGTAAAAATAGCATATCAATGACACTACAATAAAACTGCATTTGTGTATTTGAGTAAATTATGTTTCTGGTCTAGTTATCGGTGTGTGTGTGTGTGGGTGTATATGTGTATGTGTGTGTGTGTGTATGTGTGTGTGTGTGTGTGTGTGTGTGTGTATGTATGTGTATGTATGTGTGTGTGTGTGTATTTGTGTGTGTGTATGTATGTATGTGTGTGTGTGTGTGTGTATGATGATCTCACTTTGGTTCCAGGCTGGAATGCTGGGATGTTTCTCTCTGTCAGATGCTCTGTGACCTTCAGCCAGCTGTAGGTGCGTGGAGGTCATAAGGTCATTCACTCATTCATTACAGGACGGTTCTTGTGTTTGGATGATGTGGTTTTACCTGCGCTGGTAATTCTGGATCTCCTGCTCGATGAGCTCTCTGTACGAACCCTCCACCTTCTTATGGGTCACAGCGACCAGCTGAATCAACTCAGACCTCAACAACACACAGGCAGCATTTTACCTCTCTGACTTATTTGAAGATAATTGAAATATTCAATAAGGAAAAAGAGTAGTTTTATCCATGCTGTCTTCTGATTGGCCAGCACTGAGTGTGTAGGTGTGCTCTGGTCTCTGATTGGCCAGTGAACTGAAGCTGTGCACAGTAACTGAATGAAGTCGGTATAAAGAGTGTGAATGCACTCACTTCTCCAGGGATTTGAGGATGTAGTTGTAGTTGTTGTGAAGGAAGACGGCGCGCAGGGCCGGATCTTCATACACTTTAGCTTTATTTGACAGATTCAGCTGCAGGTTACCGAGGACTTTATCTGTGAAACACAATATTAAACAGGTCAGACAGTAAAAAATGAAAATAACACTGATTTAACCCAGAAAAAGCTTATATAAAATGCATGTTATGACCCTTTTAAAACATCACACTCTTTAGTTCTTTAGCGCGTGTGTGTGTGTCTTACAGATGTATGTGCTCAGGAGTCTCCGGCTGAACTCTGAACTGTAGCTGCTGGCAGACGAGCTGCTCTCTGAAGACAAGAAGAGACACGTTTCAACAGCCGTTCATCTGTTTAACATACAATACATTCTCACTTCCTTCTGTCTGAGCCATTCTGACAACCTCTGAATATAATAAACTCATAAACTAGATGCTTCGATTAAATGACAGCTCCTGTACTATGCTACAATATCCTATAGATATTAGAGAGGATTGTTTGAGGATTGTTTCATATCCTGCAGCCTGCAGACGATGATATGAAGAGCTCAGAGCCGATAACATGACAGAATATTTGAACAGCACAAGAAAAAGTTACACACACAAAAGTAAGTGATTCAGAGAGACAGTTCAAGGTCTGAAGTCAACATGAAATCACATTGGCCCCGTTTACTTTCATAATAAATGTTCCTGGAGTTATTGTGAATGATTGAGTGCATCTCTTTTATCTATTTCACATTGTTTATGTTGGGTTGATTTCACTACATCTGCATTTTAATATTATATAATATTACTAAATAATAATGTTAGTGAAAAAAATTAACCAATAATATCATAGCCTACCCTTTCCCACTGAATATCCAGTTTCACTCAAAAAAACTTCACATTATATTTCAAATATATATGAAATAATTTAAGTTTATATTAATTGGAAAAAATAAATATTGTAAATAATTTATATTATCTAGAATTATATTAGGAATAATCATTTTAATAATTATGCGGTAGTAATGCATAAAACATCAAATTAAATAATATTAATTATAATAAAATTATTTAAATTAGTTAAATTATATAAATATATATATATGTGTTATTTTGATATTACATGAAAAAATATTCTAAAAAATATTCTATAATAATAATAATAATAATAATAATGATACAGTAATGCATAAAACAACAAATTAAATATTATTAAAATATTACAATAATATTTTAGATTGGCGATCTATATATATAAGCTGCGCATTATGCATCCATAATTTGAAGTATTTCAGAGTGAAACATGTTTGCAAATGTTATTCTCAGTATAAGGTGCATCGACGAATTATTCGCGACACGTATGAAGACAGTAAATGGAGTCAGCTGTGGTTTCATGTTCTCTACTCGTCCGCTCGAGCGCTTACCTCGGGGGTCTAAAGGAATATTGTAAGTGTCCCCGAGTACTACAGGACAGAAGCAAAGCAGAACAGAGAGAGAAAGAGAACAAGAGAAAGAGGCAGAGGGCGAGAAGTTAAAATAGTTCTGTTAGTGAAGAGCTTCACCACTAAGAGCCAGCCAGGATGAGCGAGCAAGATCATGTGACAGAAGCAGAGATGAGTGGGCGGGGCTGAGAACACAGTGGGAGGAGCTTCAGAGTGTCATGCACTGCTGTGAACACGAGTATACAGAACATAAGAAGAATAAGAATAATGCTTTAAAATGAAAAAAATATATATATATATATTAAAATTATATAAATTAATGAACATACATAACATAACTTTCTGATTTAATATTTTAATTAATAATAGTATAATTAATTAGTAATCATTTTAATTCATAATAAAATAAAATTATATAATATTAATTATAATAAAATGATATAAATGAACATACAGAATATATAATATTACTTTCTGATCATTTTCACGGACCACTTTAACAACAACAGTAATAATAATAATGCTTTAAAATAAAATAATTAATTAATATTAATTAGAATAAATGCATATAAATTAATAAATATACAGAACATAATGAACATATTACCTTTTGTCTTAATATTTTAATTAATAATATTTAGAATGAATTATTCATTATTTTAAATAATAATAATAATAATGCTTTAAAATGGAAAAAAATAATAAATTAAATATTAACTATAATAAAATTACATAAATTAATGAATTTGCAGAATATAAAATTACTTTCTGATTTAATATTAATTAATAATATTTGCATTAATTATTAATTATATTAAATAATAATAATATTGCTTTAAAAAGAAAAAAAAAAGGAATAATAATAATTATAATAAAATTTAATTAAATGAAAATATGGAACATAAACTCTTACTTTCAGGAAAAAACAACAGCAGAGAAACAGAAAACAGTTGAATTTGCTCTCAGCACTGATCACGTTTGCTCTGCAGAACGTTTGTCTCGAGAAACTTCAGGAAAACCAACGGAAAAGGAAATGCAGAGCACAGGAAACGTGAACAGATGACAAATAAGGAGACAGGAACGTTATGAACATGAATGTGATAAAAACAGACATCTCAGCTGTCCAAGACAGAGCCTATATCTGCGTTTTAATTACTTTTGAAATCTTCAGTTCATTGCAGAATGAGAGATTTATAAATGCTATAAACGTGGTACATCTATTGGATCAGTCTGTTAGTGTCTGTTTTTCACTTGTGGCCATGACTGTGGTTCTGCTTTACCCTGAGAGGCCAGCATCGCTCCTGCTGTTTCCTGGAAGTCCAGCAGCTGCTGCAGGAACAGGATGGCCTGAGGAGAAACAACGAGCGGCTTTGTCTGCTTTTATAACATATCACTATTATTGGCATTTTTCCTGTACAAAATGGACAATGAAGCGATCTTACATTGCTTGTGAGCTCATGTACGGTTCCGTCTTTCGGCATGTTGTACTCTTTATCAGGATCATTCTGTCGGATTACAGAACATCACATGTCAGAACATAACAATAATCATTAATATAACAAACCATAACGAGGAATGTAATTTATATTTTATAATATAATAAAATGTGTTGTATTTAAAATATAACAAAATGCATATATAAAACATATTTCATTTTCAGTTATTAATACCATTATTATTATTATTATTATTAAAATAAGTAATAATAATTATTCGATCTCGATGTCCAACACGTCATCCTTCCCTGAGACACACACACACACACACACACACACCCGTCAGAGCTCAAGAAAACTACATTCAAATATGATCAGTGAGGACCAAGGGTGATATATTAATAATATCTTACACTTAATGTGATTAAAGCACACAAAGAAGGACACCAAGCAGAACTGAAATCTGCTTGATATGTGAAAAGGCTCATTATTTTTACAATTCTGCTTGGTCCACCAGTGATGCAGTAAATAAATACTGCAGCTTTAAATATATCTGATCAATATGAGACCAAAGAGCTATAAATGAAAAATAAAGATGTCATTTCTCAATCATACGTGTGTTACCAAAATTTCCAAATCATTTTTACTTTTTCAAAATGTACTGTAGCATTTGAAATAAATATGATTTCTGAAGTAATGTTGCGTGATACTGCAGGAAAACAAATTTACAAAGTTCAGCAATAACTGAGTCTCAATGATGCATATAAATAATATCAATGTTACTGGATGTTCAAACTGGATGTTGATGTTGAAATGAATATGAAAATATTAAGCAAAAGACTTGAATGTAGGATGACCACTTGAATTTTTAAGGTCTGATTCAATGTTGAATGAACTGACAGAATCACTGACTCTTCGAACTGAAATAAATATTTTTAAATAATTAATAATAGTACAATTAATTACTAATTAGATTTAATAATAATAATAATAACAATAATTATTATTTCATAATAATACATTTTTTAAATTAATTATAAATTCTATAAATTCATAAATAAAATTCAATAAAATTAAATGTAGGACATCCTCTTGATTTTTTGAAGGTTAATAATAATAATAATAATAATAATTTAAAATGTTAAATAATTTAATAATAATTTAAAATAAAGCAAAAACAAATTAAATAATATCAATTATAATACAATTATATATATATAAAAAATCATAAGTTTAATTTAAAATGAATACAATTAAATGTAGAATGTCCTCTATCATTTTAAGGCCTGAATCACTCACTCTTTGAACTGAACCCAATATCACTGTTGAAATTGTATTAATAACCTCTCTTAAATTAAAACAACAGCATCTTTGAAATACTGATAACAGCTAAAAACTCATCCCTCAGTTTGTAAGAAGACAAAAAACATGTTTACAGGTGATCTCTAGCTGGGCCACTGCAACAGTATAAACATTAAAATTCACATTATTTTAAACATACAGTACAACAACAGGATTTACACAACATGTGTTCTGTTCACTTGAGGCTAATGTAACAAATTACATCATTAGTTCTTTATAAACTGAGGGATGAGTCAGAATGATTGTTTTGAACTCAGCACTTGTGTTTTTTCATAATCTCTGAGGTCAGACTCACCTGCAGCCGCCCCATGCTTGTCGTCAGACAGGTGCTTAACCCCACGCAGGTCATGATCGAAACCTGATTGGTTAGGATATAGTCACATGACCGGGTCACTCACCCCAGGCTACAGAGGGAGTGCTGAACAAACTCACCCGCCCACAAAGCAAAGGAAAGACTCACGCGGCTCGCCCGAGTGCTGGATGTTAGTGGGGTTCAAGTGCACCGATGGACCCAGCAAAGCACAGAGACTTATGGGAAACACTGACGTCACAACAGCTTGTCCTCAGTTTGAGAGAGAAAACAATGACCACGATCTTCTTGCTGCCATGCTCAACTCAAAAAGTCTACTTTCTACTTGGAAAAGCCAACAGAGTGAAGCTGGACTTAAAATTGGGAAATATCTGATTTCACTGAGATGCAGTGTTATTATTATACACTATTATTTATATGCTTTTTTATTTATATTTTGTATAGTTTCAGTGTTCATTTTAATTTTTAGTAATATTCATATATTACTTTATATATTTTCATATTTATATTTTTGTTTTCATTTCAGTTTAATTTAGTTGTTTCTCATTTTTATTCGTTTTTTTCATTTAGATTTATTTCAGTTTTAGTCATTTTAGCACTTCAAACTTATTTTATTTCAGTTAGTTGCCAAAGCAACATTTCTAATCTGCGTTTTTTATTTTTAAGTTTACATTTTTCAGTAATATTTATTAGTGCTGTCAAACGATTAATCGCGATTAATCGCATCCAAAATAAAAGTATTTGTTTACATAATATATGTGTGTGTACTGTGTATATTTATTATGTATATATACAGTAAATACACACACATGCATGCATATATTTCAGAAACATATGCTATGTTTATGTATTAAAAATATTTATATATAATATAAATTATATGAATATATATACATGTAAATATTTTCAAAATATATACTCTATGTGCGTCTATATAT